CCGGCCCCCCCCCCCCCGTCCCCCCCCCTCGGGTCCCCACCCCTCCATGGCCGTGCCCCTCTATGGCCATGTCCTCCATGTCCCCAACCACGTCCTTCCACATCACCAGCCCTCCGTGGCCGTGTCCCTCCACGACCGTCTCCCCCACCTCCCCCAACCACGTCCTCCCACGTCCCCAACCTGATGCCACCTCCCTCACGTGTCCCCTGCCGTGTCCCCGTCCCCCCCCCCAGACACATCCAGGTGCGGGCAGGGGAGCACAGCCTGGCAGCGTCGACGGGGCAGGAGCAGTACGCCGTGGCCGTGGCCGTCGTGGTCCACCCCGGCTTTGACTCCGTGGACGGGGACAGCGCCTACGCCCATGACCTCATGCTGCTGCGCGTTGAGCCCCCCTTCACCATCACCCCCTACGTCCAACCCCTGGCCCTGCCCAGAAGTCCCCCGGCCACCGGCACCAACTGCACCGTCATGGGATGGGGCACCACCACCAGCCCCCAAGGTACCGGGAGCCCCGGGTGCTCGGGGTGGGTGGGGGTGGCCGTGCAGAGAGGGGACCCAGATGGCTGAGGGCTGGAGACCTCAACCTGCGGGGGCTTGGGTGGTGGCATCTCTGCAGACGAGGCCATGGTTGGGGTGGGTGGTGGCATCTCTGTAGATGAGACCATGGTTGGGTTGGGGGGTGGCATCTCTGCAGACGAGACCATGGTTGGGTTGGGTGGGGGCATCTCTGCAGACGAGGCCATGGTTGGGGTGGGTGGTGGCATCTCTGTAGATGAGACCATGGTTGGGTTGGGGGGTGGCATCTCTGCAGACGAGACCATGGTTGGGTTGGGTGGGGGCATCTCTGCAGACGAGGCCATGGTTGGGGTGGGTGGTGGCATCTCTGTAGATGAGACCATGGTTGGGTTGGGGGGTGGCATCTCTGCAGACGAGACCATGGTTGGGTTGGGTGGGGGCATCTCTGCAGACGAGGCCATGGTTGGGGTGGGTGGTGGCATCTCTGTAGATGAGACCATGGTTGGGTTGGGGGGTGGCATCTCTGCAGACGAGACCATGGTTGGGTTGGGTGGGGGCATCTCTGCAGACGAGGCCATGGTTGGGGTGGGTGGTGGCATCTCTGTAGATGAGACCATGGTTGGGTTGGGGGGTGGCATCTCTGCAGACGAGACCATGGTTGGGTTGGGTGGGGGCATCTCTGCAGACGAGGCCATGGTTGGGGTGGGTGGTGGCATCTCTGTAGATGAGACCATGGTTGGGTTGGGGGGTGGCATCTCTGCAGACGAGACCATGGTTGGGTTGGGTGGGGGCATCTCTGCAGACGAGGCCATGGTTGGGGTGGGTGGTGGCATCTCTGTAGATGAGACCATGGTTGGGTTGGGGGGTGGCATCTCTGCAGACGAGACCATGGTTGGGTTGGGTGGGGGCATCTCTGCAGACGAGGCCATGGTTGGGGTGGGTGGTGGCATCTCTGTAGATGAGACCATGGTTGGGTTGGGGGGTGGCATCTCTGCAGACGAGACCATGGTTGGGTTGGGTGGGGGCATCTCTGCAGACGAGGCCATGGTTGGGGTGGGTGGTGGCATCTCTGTAGATGAGACCATGGTTGGGTTGGGGGGTGGCATCTCTGCAGACGAGACCATGGTTGGGTTGGGTGGGGGCATCTCTGCAGACGAGGCCATGGTTGGGGTGGGTGGTGGCATCTCTGTAGATGAGACCATGGTTGGGTTGGGGGGTGGCATCTCTGCAGACGAGACCATGGTTGGGTTGGGTGGGGGCATCTCTGCAGACGAGGCCATGGTTGGGGTGGGTGGTGGCATCTCTGTAGATGAGACCATGGTTGGGTTGGGGGGTGGCATCTCTGCAGACGAGACCATGGTTGGGTTGGGTGGGGGCATCTCTGCAGACGAGGCCATGGTTGGGGTGGGTGGTGGCATCTCTGTAGATGAGACCATGGTTGGGTTGGGGGGTGGCATCTCTGCAGACGAGACCATGGTTGGGTTGGGTGGGGGCATCTCTGCAGACGAGGCCATGGTTGGGGTGGGTGGTGGCATCTCTGTAGATGAGACCATGGTTGGGTTGGGGGGTGGCATCTCTGCAGACGAGACCATGGTTGGGTTGGGTGGGGGCATCTCTGCAGACGAGGCCATGGTTGGGGTGGGTGGTGGCATCTCTGTAGATGAGACCATGGTTGGGTTGGGGGGTGGCATCTCTGCAGACGAGACCATGGTTGGGTTGGGTGGGGGCATCTCTGCAGACGAGGCCATGGTTGGGGTGGGTGGTGGCATCTCTGTAGATGAGACCATGGTTGGGTTGGGGGGTGGCATCTCTGCAGACGAGACCACCGTTGTCCAAGGGATGGAGACTTCAGGGTTGGGTGGGGTCAACCACGCACAGAAGGGACCCAGGCGTCCGGGGCGCAGAGCCCTGGCCCGGGGTGGACACGTGTCCCCTCCCCGTGCCCAGAGTCCTTCCCCGACACCCCCCAGTGCGTGAACGTCACCGTGGTGGGTGACAACGAGTGCCGGCTGGCCTACGGCAGCAAAATCACCCAGGACATGTTGTGCGCCGGCGTGGCTGCGGGGGGCAAGGACTCCTGCCAGGTACCTCCAGGTCCCCGTGTCCCCGTGTCCCCATGTCCTACAGCCACGGCCCCAGGTCCCACAGCCCCGTCCCTTTGGTCCCCTTTGTCCCTTGGGCTTCGAAACGGTGCCACATCTTCACGTCCCCCATCCCTACGTACCCACCTCCCATGGCCACGTGCCTTTGGTCCCCTTGTCCCCTCGGCTTTCAGAGGTGGCTCTGTCCCCATCTCCCACTGCCACCACGTCCCTTTGGTCCCCTCGTCCCCCGGGCTTCAAGACATGACCATGTCCCATGGCCACACCCTCGCGTCCCGTGGCCACGCCCTCACGTCCCATGGCCGCATCTCTTCGGTCCCTGCCACCCCACCGCTCCCTGCCCACCTCC